AGACTTCATTGTTTATCGATTCGTTTATTTTGTTCTCATTAATCATGAAACACGAATGGGGATTTATTTTCATTAGGTATTCTCACGTTTCTCAACCGTTGTTAACTAATTACCGACTATTCCCCCTATTTTTAATATTTATCGTCACACGACTAAATGGCTGTTATCACGAAACACGAGAGCCGGATGTTTAGGCCAAATACTGTTTTCTAGATTCGTGACAATGAAAAATAGGGAAAAACATTGATAAACAGTCTACCCCAAAACGAGTCCTGGGTTGACAGTTTTATTAATGTTTATCATAAGAAATGTGCTGAATTTCAAGTAACAAATCTACCGTAAGGAAATTGAAAAAATCTACCGCTGAAAATGTTTACCTACTCTACCAACCATCAATACCTCAAATTCTCAGATTTTTTAAATTCAGTCTGAAGTCTACTGGGCCAAAAATCTACCGAACATAGCCTTTACAATTTTTTTAAATATTAGACGAAATTATGGCATCTCTACCTGACAACAGGTCTACCATAATGACTTGTGCATCAATAACTCTACCACTATGAACATCTACCAGTAATAATCTCTATCCACCGTCAACTCTACCAATTAGGACCAGGAAATGGATATGAATGGTAGATTTTACGACAGGTAGAGCTGATTACCGGCAGAAATGAGTCATGGGTTGACCGTTTTATTAATGTCCATGTCTACCGCAACAAATGTACCGAATTTTAAAAAATTTACCGCTGAAAATGTCTACCGACTCTACCTGTAATCGACTCTACCAAACATCAATTCCTCAAATTCTCAGACTTTTTAAATTCAGTCTGAAGTCTACCGATATCTACAAAAAACCTACTGAACATAGCCTCTACAATTTTTTTAAATACTAGACGAAATTATGACATCTCTACGTAACGACAATTCTACCGTAATGGCTTGTGCGGCAATAACTCTATTGACATGGACATCTACCAGGAATAATCTCTATCTACGGTCAACTTTACCAATTCTTCGGTACACATGGAGATCAATACCGTTGGTATTCTGCCGCCAAAACAAAATTCTCCCTAAATTCGTGACAACAAAAATAAAGAAAAAAAATTGATAAAACGCCTCGATATCAGATCACAATAGTTAAAAATGCCATGATGTTTGATGTTTCCTACTTGAAGTTGAAAGGGACAGACAGGTTTGGTAGGTTACGAAAAACCGACGAGGTCAAACGATCGATAGTGGTAGTAGAGGGCCACCAACCAAAGTGAATCTATATGGGTATATACACACTCAACTCAATATCGACGACATGTATGCCATCGGGTCAGCCTATGGACTAAACCAGACGTAAATAGTCGGTATAACACATTTGTATACACCCCGTTGACGACTATTTTGGCATCAACTCGAGAGATAATCTAATAATATTAATCATTAAGATTGGCTGAAGATAAGGGGTCTTTCTATATTTGTGACTTTTTATTAATGTTCGTGGCTGAGCTGTTAGTTAGGAAGACAGGGAGACGATTCTAGTCGGATATCTATTTTTGGGGGATGGATTGAGTTAATGATGCTGATATCCAGAAAAGAATTTTCATCATTAATCTGCGGAAATATTTCCCAGAATATATCATTAATTCAGTGAATATCCATTGCCCCGTGTATTTGAACAAAAAAAAATATGATTCTGCCTCAACCTATATGAGATATGAATGATTCTCATCAGTATCATCTGCATGTGTATGACGTACTGAAGAAACATACAGCACCATCAGACCGATAAATAACGTCCCAAGGCGGGCGAGGTGATGCGAGACAGGCACACTGTGCGCCGGGCTCGAAACATAAACTATCAACAGTGTCACGAGAGGCGGTTGTGTTTACCGTTGAGAGGGGCGTTTTGCTCCACGCATTGACGCCACATGGGGCATCTTATCTGTGTATAAAGCATGGATTGCTCTGCTTTCGATACGTGACAAAATTTTACGAATGTAGTTTATCGGAACGTTTCTAGATATTTCACTTTTCGGAAAGTAGTCCGTCAGTTTTTGTTGAATATCTCTTGATCTGATGGAGATAGCGAAATATTAGGGAATACCTTTTTTGTAGGTCTCAATTTTCGCCATAGAAAAGATTCTTATAAATTTTCCGCTATCTCGCTTCGATTCTGCGATATTCTGCAAAAACTAAATTTGAAAAAATTATGCATTTTCTTCTATTTTTCCAGTCTACCTCTGACTCCAATGGCATTAAAAAAAATTGAGGTTATTCTTTACAATATTTTATGAGAGTAATCTGCCACAATGTAACTCTCTTTATCATAAAAAAGGCAATGAATAAAAACAAAAACTCCCATAAAAAATTAAAAATATAGGAGCAATTAGAATGCTATATGAAGCCAATAAAAATGCAAATGCTGTTTATGTTATCGCATGCAAATACCTCTTTCTCCCACCAGCAATACACTTTTTAATACATTTTTTTAGTCGAAATGACTCTGTACAATCGAAGCAATCTCCTCGATAGAAGATACTCATCAGCTGCCACTTTGCCATATTACATTTTCGTTTTCCCTCGATTCACGTATCCCTATATATACCTATCGCACATACACCAACGTGAACTTCTTATCTCTAAAAATCTATCCCTCGGGGGTATCTCATTGGCTCACGTAGTACAACTCACTCTTGATTTTACCTGGCTTCTTGTTAAATTCGATTGAAAAAAAATGAGGAAATATCATTCAGTGGAGGAGATCAAATTTCATTTGAAGTTGGAAAAAAAGTGAATTGAGTTGAGGATTTTGAATACATTCGGTGGAATAAAGAATAAAAAAAAATCGGTTGGTAACTCTATTGATTTTGACATGTAACATAGCACGTCTAGAATTATTTTTATTTCCGTGACATTCGTAGACTTTTGTGGAGAAATTGAGACGAGCGAAATGAGCAAACTGAGCAAAACGAGCAAAGTGGGAAAATAATACCGATAATTATTTATTACGATATTTGAGGAGTCAACCATTCTATTGATATTTGAAAAATAAAATGCGGGAAATTAAGGAATTGAGGGTAATGAGCAAACATAGTTAAATGAGTAAAACAATCAATCAATCAATTTCGGTAGATTTCAGTAGAGATGCTCGACAGTTGAATTATTTATACTTTTACGTCATTTGGCAGATTGTTGTATGGGGAGAATAGAATGAGCGTAAAGAACGAAGTAAGCGGAACGAGCGAAATAACACCATTAATCGTCGATTAGTGTTCGAAAATTCAATCATTCTATTGACATTTGAAAAATAAAATGAGGGAAATTGATGAATTGAGTGGAATGATCAAAATAAGCAAAATAAGCCGAGCGAGATAAGTAAAACAATCAATCAATCGATTCCGATGGATTTTCTTAGAGATGCTCGACAATTGAATTACTTATACTTTTACGTTATTCGATAATTCAATCAATCTGTTGACATTTGAAAAATAAAATGAGTGGAATGAGCTGAGTCAGATAGGTGAAACAATAACTGAAATCTACTTTGTTGGTAGATTTCGGTAGCGATACTCGTCGACAAGCTCGTTATTTTGATCTTCATGGTGTACGTAATTATTTTGTTTTATGTTGGTCTTTGGCAGTATATTGTTTTTCGGGTCTGTTATGATACACGTAAAAATGAGTAGCCATTATTCTACTACATTCAATAGGTAATTACTTCATTAGTTTCGACGAGTTTTCTAATAATGGCCTAGACAGTACGTGTCCCACCTGGGGTATACCGAGATAATGCTTGGTAATGTTTCAATTACACATTCACAAGGTTAATAAGCATCCATCTGCATTCCATTCATACACTTTTACGAGAATTAACTTTTCACCGTTGCAGTGCATTAAAATATTCAACGACTAAAATTCACTCCATCATAATTATACTTTCATACAGCCATACCCTCACCTCCAGAAGTTTTGGAAATATTTCAATAACTCCAGTATGCATATCTCCATATCCACCACACCAACTACAATCTCGTGCATTGAACGATGTTGAGTTAGGACACAAGTAAATAGTATGCCACAACCTCCTCTGGATGGATTCCACCTAACAACATGAGAACAATACCTCTTTGTTGGACGGGCTATTATACACAGTGTTCGAGAACTAGGCATGGTATTGTATTCAACTACATTTGACAAACAAATGTTGAGGGAGAACTTGAGCGATTGCCTTAATGATAATGTACGTAACGCTATCGTTTTCTTGGGTTACTATTTCGTTTTTTTTTGGTTGAGAGTTTTATCGGGAATTTTTATTGTACCGAGAATGGCGATAAGGGATTGATGATTAATTCTGGTTTTATGATTGCGGGGAGATTAATCACTTGGCAATAATGAAATGAGTTAAATGAATCGATTCTTTCTTGAAAATTCACCTTATTCTTCATTTTGAGATGATTAAAGTGAAAAAATGAGAAATATAAATAGAATAATCCCGACAAATAGGGCTCCCATGAATTATAAAAATGCATGAGGAAAATTACGTTTGAAAATTGAATGAGCAAAATGAGAAAATTGAGTCAAACGAGCAAAATGAAACAATAATGTCGACAGCCGACGACTATAATCCTCCTAAAGTTAAGCACTCTATTCACATTTAAATTTCAAAATTATCGAAAAGAGTGAATTGAGTGGAATGAGCGAAATGAGCAAATTGAACCAAATTACGAAAGCATCCCCAGAATGCGCTTCTGCCTTTTTAAATCGTGAATATTCGTGCTCACCTGAAGAAATACAGTGATCCAAATTAGCCAAACGAGCGAAACGAGTATATTCCTGAGAAATTCTGTTTGATATATTCGAGATCAATTCTATGGCATCAGTGGATGAGAAAACATGAGCAAAAAAGGAAAATGATACAAAAAAAAACATATGATTGCAATAGAAGACACTTCATTCCTTCTACCAACATCTCCAATACCTCATACATCTCTATTTCATTTTATTTCTAGGTATCAATCATAAAGCCAGCAAAGAAAAACTACACTGTCGAGCTCAGAGCGTTCATAACAGAGGACAGAGGTGGTAAAGGAGACGATGATTGAGCCTCGGAAATAACCACCGAGGTCCGACCTCCCCCCTCGTTCCCATCACGGGTGAAGAAAAACAAGAATCGAGAGGGGGTGGAGGTGGTGGAGGCGGTGGTGGTGTAGTCGAGGGAGAAGTTGATGGTGATGAGGAGACAGAAGGAGTCAAAACAAGGGGGGAAAGACTACGAAGTGATCACCATATCAACCTGGTAAATAAACATGTAAACAATGTAATATCACTTCTTTTTTTATCCATTTTACGTTTCTCGGATGGGAAAAAACTCTGATGAGACTGTGGAGGGGAAGACAGTGGGAAGGGGCGGGGGAAAAAGAATGAGATAACGTGATAAGTGATAACGAACATCCGAGCCCGGCTATGATACTCAGTAGAGTTCAGGTACCCACTAGTGCTGGATCATTTATTTTTTTTCAACGGCTAGTGTAACAGAAATACCTTGAATTAATTTTTTTTTCTTCATAATTTCTCCAAGTTTCACGGCTTTAATCGGCCTCCGGTGGTCTACAGTTTTTTAAATTCAAAACACTTTTTAATGGCTCAAGTGACGATTAAATCGGAAAGTGTGTTAAAGCCTTGTTGAGGTATTTCCCTTTTTTTGTTTCTAACCCTCAACTCTTTTCTCTCCGAATGAATGGAACAAGTGTGAAATTTCATTGAGGACTTCTCTTTCTTTGGCAAGGAGGGGGGGGGGATTTAAAAAGAAGTTGAGAGTTTGATGCTGAGTGTACTGATGTTATGGAGAGAAGGTGCGTTAAGGGTGGGAATAAGTGCTTGTATGAATACAGAAGGTGCTCGTGAAAAACTCCCTTGAGTGTATGCGAAAAATGGTGGATTTTCTTGGGTGTAGAGGGGCGGGGAAGGAGGCGGGGAGGGGGGGGGGG